GTAGAACAGCTGGAACGGCCTACAGCCGATTTCGAAGCCTATTTTTGATGCCATATCCCGAACCTCCACTGGAATGCCTTGAAGGCCAGGAAGGTCACCTTGACTAGGTTCAGGAACGTTCTGAATAGCCTCCTTCGATAATGCGAAAGGAATGGGTAGCAAAGAAAGAGGGAATCGTGCTTGACAAGTAAAGCAAGCAAAATCATCAGGATAATCGGCGGCGCAAAAGGTCACAGCTTTACCATGCGCTCATGTGCTGATTTCAATTCACAGTATTCCTCGGACTCTTCAGTGGTAACAGTTCCTGTAATGGCTGTGACCTCTCTCCTACTGTGCCGTGATGTAGGGCGGACAAGGTCGACCGCCGGCTGCACTGCTTGGTCGATCCTTCTACGAAGTCGGCGGGATTTCAATCCAGTGCTTGTAATTTTGTTGGACTGGGGAGGTGAATGCAAAAGACCAAGCTCTGCTAACTTAGCTTTGTTTCTGGCTATGCATGTAGCACGCTCTTCCTCAAGGTCCATCGATGATCGTAATGATATCGCAATATTGCCTATATGAATGACGAATGTAAGCAGGATGTAGTCATTCTGGACTGATGTATGAAGATGTGTACGGCATGATTGCAAGCGACCTGTACCAATGAGGCAAACCGTTCATGGATTTCGAGGTGTAATTTATTACAGAAAAGGTTGCCGCATTTGCAAGACTTAGGCATTGTGTGAATGTGGACGGGTCCTGCAGGCCAAGACCCCGAGTGCCTATGCCCCGGAGTGGAAGTTGGCTAACGAATTACTGCGAGGCCAGGAACACCAATTGAGTTAACTATTGCTTGTCTTTATAGCTTAAATTCTGCGCAAAGCGCACATACTTTGGTAGAAGGTAACTGCGACGGCCGGACAGAGGTTACGCATTTTCATAAAGCCAACCGAACGGGCTACAGAGACTTTATAGCTAAATCAAAGTTATTGCTTTAACTAGTATAGCAAACAGCTTCACGCGCGGGCACTCTGACGTCGACATGGCCGATGATGATGACAGGACTTCTCGCTTTGTACCCAGTGTTTTTTTTTAAGTAATATAGTACTTTTAAGGAATAAAGAGGCCTTTTTGGCCTTTGGAAATAAGGAACAAAGTGAGGCCGATCCGTACATTTTCATTCCTTCAGCCAAAAACGTCCATTGCTGCCAGATTGCTCCGTAGTGTGCAGAACTTAGTATTATCGATCATAAAATAGATATGAGGGGCCGTAAGAAGGTCAAGCCCGTGAGTCAACGCGGCAT